GCTCTTTCTTTCTTTCTTTCTTTCTTTCTTTCTTTCTTTCTTTCTTTCTTTCTTTCTTTCTTTCTTTCCTTTTCTTTCTTTCTCCATCTTTTTAGCCTAGCTCTACCATAAATGTGGGCTACCTGTATTCAGGGACTTCTCTAGTTTAAACTAGTCATGTATCTAAATGAGTTTTTATGTGACAGGCCTATTGTTTAGCAAGTGTTTTGTTAAGTAACTTGTTGAACAATTTTGGATCGAAGGCATACTTGGTGTTTTGTACAGTTAAGCTTATGGTCCTTCTTCCTCCATTTTGTGATACATTTGATATAAGTAAACATTAGCATCTTAAACCAGTGCCTCTTGTATTGGGGGTCTGTCCGTATTCACAGCTCATGCCTGATGGTCCTTTACCATGAACCAGAGTGGGTGCTTGCTTACTCTTTCTGCCTCCCTCTTTCTTTGTCTCTCTCTCTCCCAACACACACACACACACACACACACACATACACACACACACACACACACACACACACACATGTGAGCACCCCTACAGCTTCAGAGTTCAGGCAGCTATTGAAACACTGCATTGAGTTTTCCAGTAAGTATTTGTCTCCATATGATTTACTCTTTTTCTTAACAAAAAAAAATTACATTTATGTTTAATTTATTTCTGTGAGTGTTTTGCCTGCATGTACACATGTACAACTTGTGCATACCTGGTCCCTGGCAGGCCAGAAATGGGTATCTGATCCTTTGGGTTTGGAGTTATGAATGGGGTTGTGATCAACCCCCTCCATATAACAAACAACAAAAAAAATATAAAGTAATATATAGGGCACAATTTCTTATATACTTATCATTTTGTCCTTACCCTGTTTCTAAATTATTATTTATTCTTCCTGAGACTCTGCATGCATATAGATAGCAATAAGGATGTTGAGCTCATTTTTCTGAACTGCCTGTCCTGCTCAGTGTGCTTTAAGCCATTGTGTGTTAAGTGCTCTCAATATAGTCTTTTATATTTTGCCATTTTTTTTTTTGAGACAAGGTTTCTCTGTGGCTTTGGAGGCTGTTCTGGAACTAGCTGTTGTAGACCAGGCTGGTCTGGAACTCACAGAGATCCGCCTGCCTCTGCTTCTGCCTCTACTGGGATTAAAGGTGTGCGCCACCATCGCCCGGCTAGTTGCCATTTTCTATAGTTTGTATATATATAAAAAAAAACCAGACTATAATGTTTTCATTTTTGCATTTGTTTTTAGCCCCATGTGCTGTCAGGAATCTTCAAGACTTGGCCCGTATTTATATTCGACGCACACTTAGAAACTTCATCAATGATGAGATGCAAGCCAAGGGAATTCCGCAAAGGGCTCCACCTAAGAGGAAAAGAAAGAGAGTTAAGCAGAGAATTAACACTTATGTATTTGTGGGTAATCAGCTTATTCCTCAGCCTCTAGACAGCGAGGAGGATGAAAAAATGGAAGAAGACAGCAAAGAAGAAGAGAAAGATCACAGTGAAGCCATGAAGCAAGAGGAGCCACCTCAGAACTTACTGAGGGAAAAGATCATGAAGCTGCCGCTCCCTGAGTCTTTAAAAGCTTACCTGACATATTTTAGAGACAAATAACTTAAAACAAGGAAGAATGCCTACTGATAATTCCCTTACTCTTGTAAATGTACTGTTTATTAGGAGTTAGAGAGTTACTTCATTAGAATGAATTATTGCAGACAGAAGCTTAAGTTATTTCTCTTAATGGCAGAAATGATGTATCCAGTGATTTAAAAGAGTCTTTCCTAAAATCTATTTTTCTTAAATCTTGAGGAAATGCTGTTTTAGCTCAGTGAATCTCAAAGTGAAATGCATCTAAAGTCAGGACTTTGTGGACAGTAGATTTGTAGTGGGGGGGGTTTGGTTTCATTCTATAAGAGGTTGATACTTTGTCATATAGGCTTATTTAAATTGCAGTTTGCATTTCCTTTGTGAGAGCACGCTTATCTAATAAGGAAAGCAAATGCTTGTAGACATGCTTACCTTATTTTTGTTGTAGACATATTCCGGGCAATATATGAGTGCAATAATAATTCATGATATTAAATAATTTAGCTTTAAAAGCTGCCGACTTCATGAAATTTTGCAGGCCTGAAACTTTGCTTTTCAGTCTATTGCCAAAAGATAACAGAAAATTCCCACTTCTCTTATAGAGATTTTAAGAGCACAGCAAGTGAAATGGCTACTTAACACAGCTAGTTTGTGTGGGGCCTTTTGTGTTTCAGTATTTAAGATAATGAGGTTATCTTAACTCTAGAATTTTAAAAGGTAGTGTGTTTAGGATTGCTTTTCTGTAATTATATAGTATTAGATTTGAAAAGACATTCATTGTCCCATTTGCTTCTGAGTGCAGATAGTGAGTAAGCCGTGGTAGGTGACCCTCACCTATTAGGAACCTTCAGTAGCAGGGAAGATGATGTGGCCAGCTGAGACACTTCTTGGGACTTTTAATTATGTGGATATTTGTCTTTGAAAATGTAGGCCACACTCACCTCATCTATTTTGAACCTTTCTAGTAGAAACTGTCATGGAAGCTGTATGTAGATGCCTTTGTGTTAAAATTTGGTTCAGCATCATCGTGGGATCTCTGGGACCCACACCAAGCTCATTTCCTCTGTTCTGTGTTTTGCTTCTTTGGTAAAATGATAATGGCTTTCATTTTTTTACTTAATGTTACATTCTTAGGCTATGTAGAGTATCAGTGTTAAAATCACCAGTGCGTGCTGTTACTAGATCTTTCCTCATAAGGCTTGCACACAGTTCTTCCTTGTTAAGCACGTGTGAGATGTGACCTACTTACTACTTAGTATCACATAGATGATGTGTTTTTAAAGGGAAGATTTCAAATGTCTCACTTATTCTTATCACATCACTGTCAGAGCAGCTGCTAAGATTTGCCTAATCATGATGATTTAAATAGTTTTAAATGACTGAGCTCCAATAATTCTGCAAACCTGAATCAGTTGAAACAGGAAATTGACCCAAATAATGGATAGTGTCTTAGTAATGTGAAAGACAGTGTTATGGGAAGAACTCATTTGGCTCTTGGTGGAATGGATGAGTCCAATTATTCTTAACATAATTAGCAAACTATTATTAAGAAATGTCCTATCCTGTTTCTATCGAAAAAAGAAAAAAGACTCTCCCCCTGCCCCCTGAATTGGTACTGGGTATTAAAGCCCAGAACTAGGACCTCATGCATGCTAAGTAAGCACTCTGTGACTGAGTTTATCCCCAGACCAACAAACTGTTATGTTTAAAATTTTGTTTTAGAAGTTTAGTCTTGAATTCTGATGCCCACGTGGTTTTATCTGGGGAAAGTTTTCATCTTGTCTTCCCATCCTGTCCACCACATCTCTTTTGTTTTTGTTTTGTTTTTCTTGGAAAGTGTTGTTAATGATGTATTTGAAGGTAGCTTTTTAATACTGTCTTGGGTTGACCTTGATAAATTATACAGTAGATTGTCTTGATCATTGCACACAGACAAAAATACATTGTGTTTATCTTTTGAAGACAACAAAGAATCATGGAGTGGAGGTGTGTGCTAAGTCTTGCAGCAGGTTGGAGACAAGGGCCTGAAGGAGCAGCCACCATCACCAAAATGCCAAGAATCCAGCCATGACACCATAGCTACCAAGGGTCTAATTGAAATCTGCACTACTCACTGGTCAGCAATGGTCTCTGGTATTAATAAAATGTTAAAATAGCATACATGGTTACAATAAAATGAAATACGAAGTGTGTTGATTGTTGAAAGTGAAAGAAAGCTTGCTAAATCATTGGGCAAATTGGAAAACCATTTTAAATAAATCACTTCATTACACAGAATTATCCAGTGGCCTGCCTTTTCTTTTTCTCTTAGTTTTGAGTTCAAACAATTACTGTGCATATAGATATTTAGCAACAGTTTTCAGGGCAGAAGTCCTGACTGTTGACCCCTGTGGTGACACTCGGTTCCTATCTAAACACCCCAGTTAGGGAAGTGGGCATTGAGGAAAACAGAAAGATATTTATTCAGCATGGCCTTTCAGCATGGCCACATAGGTGACAAGAACACAGTAATCTGGTGACCCTTCACCTGTCTTGTCTTTAATGTGTCAACATGAGCTGTGGGTTGAGAAGAATTCGGGCAGGGATCATGGGTAGGCATAACTGAGCAGTCCTGGATAAAGGTGGCCAAAAGAAGCATTCATAGGTGATTACTTTTCCAGTCGTGGCCTTTTTGCCAGTAGTTGCTCCCTTCTGAGGCTGGAGTGCTGTGGATGTCTCTCTCTAACTTTGATTGTTCTGCTATTTCGGGGGACTTCTGTGGCCAAGGAAGGAGGCAAGGCTTTTCAGCAAAAGCAGACATTCAAAAGTGTGTGTGTGTGTGTGTGTGTGTGTGTGTGTGTGTGTGTGTAGTGTGTGTATGAGTGGGCCTGCTTATGTTACAGCATATATGTGGAAATCAAGATAGGGAGTTGCTTCTTTTCTCTTGCTGTGGGAGCGTGTCTACCCACTAAGCCATGTAGCGTGCTGCAGAATAACTTCTAAGTAAGTATTTGAGATGCGTTGAAAAATGTCGGTGGGTATCTATCTTTGGACATCTAACTTCCTTTGACTGTTGCCAACCTTGAAGATACAGAGTTTTGTTAAGTGCAAAATACTAGAATATGAAGTGTACCAAAGCAGGAGAAATGGAATTCAGTGTACATATCGTTGCATGTGCGTAGGATTGGTTCTTTCCTGTCATAAGTCTTTGGAGTTTCTTTCTTCTCTGGGGTGGCTCTTTGTGCTTATTACAGCCTTCCTTTCTGGTATTTTCCTTTACCATGTATTGTTTTGTATACTCATATATAATTTGTATTCACATATCTTAGAATCATACCCTACACATTACTTTTCAGGGATACATTGTATATGGTTAAGTTTAGTGTTCACCATTTTACATTGACAGATCTTTGTTTTGAAATTCTGTTTTGCATATCTCATGGCATTTTCTTTCACTCAGAATTTTCTGAGGGATATAACTAAGAGCAGAATTCTTAAGTTTTTGAGTCACGGTCTTACTGTGTGTGTCTCTGGATGACCTGGAGCTTGCTATGTAGACTGGGCTGGTCTAGAACATTTTAAGCAATGTCTGCTGAACTTGACACGATTATAACCATCCTCAAGCACAGCGGTTGGGGTGGGAAGACTACAGAAGACCTTATTGTCACCGGACAATACAGCCCAGCAACAAGGCTGCATGGTAGAAAAATGAGAAGATGACTCTCACGTGCGTTACTAGTCCCTTCTCCAGTCATGATATTTTGGGGCTGATAGAATGTATAATTGTGAGTGAGATTACTTCTCTAATAGAGTTCTTTCTTAGTGTGTTTATTATCCAGTATATGGAAGGCTACTGATTTTTTGTGTGTTAATTTTAATGATAATCACTGCTGAAAGTGCTTGTTGGGGATGGAGAGATAGCTCAGAGTTTAAGAGTACTGGCTGCTCTTCCAGAGATCCTGAGTTCAATTCTCAGCAACCACATGGTGGCTCACAACCATCTGTAATGAGATCTGGTGCCCTTATCTGATGTGCAGGCCTACATGGAAGAAGAATGTTGTATACATAATAGATCTTTTTTTAAAAGTGCTTATCGTGTCTATGAGTTTTTTGGTGGAGTCTTTAGGGAATCCTCTGTATACTCAGAAATATATGTATACTCATATTATCTGCAGATAGAGATACTTAGTTTTTATTTTGCTATTTATATCTTTTCAATTCTTTTTTCTTGCTGCACTAGCTAATACTTTCAGTGCTGTATTGACTAAGAGTTTGGAGAGTAGATATCCTTCTCGAATTTATGGTCTTATTGGCAATGCTGACTTCGTCAAAAGCCTTTTTGCATTTATCAAGATGATCATGTAATTTCTTTTTGAGCCCATTTATATAATTTCTAACATTGATGTATGTTTATTGACCCATCACTGTATCTTAGGAATAAAGCCAATTTGATTGTGGTGACTTACTTCCTTTATGTGTTCTTTGAGTGTGTTTTGTAAGTACTGTGATGAAAATTTTTGTGTCAATAAGGGAGATTAAACTGTTGTTGTTGTAGTAATATATTTAATCTGGTTTTGTTATAAGAGCATTTAAAAAGCTTAGTAATATTTCCCCCTTTTCTATTTTATGGAACAGTTTGAAAACCATTGGTGTATTAGCTTTTTTGTTTTGTTTTTGCTTTTTTGTTGTTTTGTTTGTTTGTTTTTTTGAGACAGTGTTTCTCTGTGACTTTGGAGGCTGTCCTGGAACTAGCTCTTGTAGACCAGGCTGGTCTCAAATTCACAGGGATCCCCCTGCCTCTGCCTCCCAAGTGCTGGGATTAAAGGTGTGTGCCACCTCTGCCCAGCTTGTGTTAGTTTTTCTTTAGTGGTCTAATAAACTTCATCAGTGAATCCATCAGGACCTGTACTTTTTTTTTTTTTTCCATTTGGAACATTTTAAATTACTTTGGTCTCACAGCCTGCTTTAGATCTATGTAAGTTGTTTATCTCACCTTGATTTAGTCTCTGTAGATAATATGTTTCTTAGAAATGCATCCATTCTTTATTAGATATTTCAGTGTGGTGAAGTATGGTTTTTATACAAGATCTAATGATTTTCTGAATACCATTGATATCTATTATTAAGGCATGTCATGTCCAGAAGATAGCTTTTCATAGCACTTGTTTTAATAACTTTCCAATTGGTATGACAAGACCCCATAAGCAAGGAAACTTACAGAAGTTTTTTGGAGTTTCACAGTTCCAGAGGGTGAGTCTATGACCTTCATGATGTGAAGCATGGCAGCAGGCAGGCAGGCATGGCACATGAGCAATAGGTGACAGCTTTCATCTGATCCATAATCATGAGAGCTAACTGGGAATAACGTAGACTATTGGAACCTCGAATCCTACCCCCCAGTAACACTTCTCCAGCAAGGCCACACCTAATCCTTCCTAAACAGTTCTGCCAAACTGGGAACCAAGCCTTCAAATCTGAGAGCCATTCTCATTCAGACTACTGTAGTACTTCTCACACTTCAGGTCTTAATTATTTCTGCCCTGTTTTTGTTGATGTTTCTTGAACCTTGGAGGAAATGATATAGATGACCATTTAAGGCTGAGTAACCAACAGTCTCTTATTCTCAGCACTTTCTACTATGAAATGAGTTCTAATTGGTCTTAATAATAAAAAGCCAGAGTCAGATAGATGGTTAATTGCCGGAAGGTCAGAGAGACAAAGGGACAAGCCTCGTACCTTGCCAACTCTCAACCTAAAAAGGCCCAAGCACCTGTCTCTGCCCTGCCTTATCACTTTTTCTCTCTGCCCAGCCATATTGTTTCCTATTTCCTTCTTCCATGTGAGTGGACCAAATCTATGAATAATAGGAATAGAGGAAGAAGAAAACATAAGGTCAAAGGCATAGAAAATATTTAAAACAAAATTATAGAAGAAAACTTCCCTAACCAGTAAAGAAAGTCCCTATGACACATAATAATCAAAACACTGAATATATAGAACAAAGAAAAAATACTAAAAACTACAAGAAGTAAGAGCAAGTAACAAATAAAGGCAGACCTATTAGAACAACACCTGAATTCTCAATGGAGACTATGAAAGCCAGAAGAGATAGTCCAGACTACTATACCTGGACAAACTTCTAACCACAATAGATGAAGAAAAGAAGACATTCCATAATAAACCCCAATTTAAGCAATATTTATTTAGAAACCTTGTTCTAGAGAAGGCACTAGAAAAGAAATTTAACGTAAAATTGTTAATTATTCCCAAGAAAAGAATAACTAAATAACCTCAGACCAGAAAATCAAAGGAGGAAAAAACGCACACCACCACAACAAAATAACAGGAGTCCCCAAATGCTGTTCATTGATAACATCAATTGTCTTAATTCCTCAATAAAAAGATACAGACTAACAGAATAGATGTGAAAACAAGGTCCATCCTGTGCATCCAAGAAACAAACCTTAACACCAAGGATAGACATCACTTCAGGATAAAAAGATGGAAAAAGATATTCCAAACAAATGGACTTAGGTGTGGTCCCTTTAATATGTACAAAATAGACTTTACAATAAAACTAATTAGAAGAGATAGAGGACACTATATATTGATTAAAAGGAATAATCTACCAAACACCTATGCACCAAACACAAGGGTTACCCAATTTAAAAAAGGAAAGCACTACTACTGAAATTACACATTGACCCTCCCATGCTGATAGTGGGTGGTCTCAATGCCTCACTGTCAACAATAGAGAGGTCACACGGACAAAAACTAGAGAAATGCTGGAACTAACTGAAATCATAAACCAAATGACCTAACATATTTACAGAATATTTCGCCAAACACAAAAGAACATACATCCTCTGCAGCTTGTGAATTTTTTTCCAAAATTGACCACATACTTACAAAGCAAATTTTAACAGATACAAGAAAATTAAAATACCACCTATATCCTATCAGACCACCATGGATTGAAGCCAGATGTCAACAACTGAAACAACAGAAAGCCTGCAAACTCAAGGAAACTGAGCGATTCAACTCTGAATGAAAAATGGGCAAAGACAAATTAGGAAAGAAATTTAAAACTTTAGAATTGAATGAAAATGAAAATGTAGTGCCCAGGGTAACTTGGCTACACTGCTGCCATGATAGGCCCAATAGAGACCAGCCAGAAAGTAGATCTGAGTTAGAGATTACCCTAATGTTTAATTTGCCCTTTAGAATCAAATCTGAGGTCTTTTCTATATATGTTGTTAGCTTTTTAGTCTGTTTGTGTGGCAGAAATATCCATTCCA